GAAGTTATTTGTGACAATTATCTGCTATAAATCTGTGACCTTCAAATAATTGAAGAATTATCACTTCTCCAAGTATACCTGTCTTTCCAGAAGACTCTCACATTAGAAATGACTAGACTTGCTTTTGCTGTTTCTTTTCTGTACATAATTGAAGAGCCCTACAAGATTAGAATTACTAGTAATGGTTAATGTAAAGTATAATGGATTGGAATGAAGCTAAAAAGATTAGCTTAATTTATTAGAAATTACAAATGAGGAAGTAAGTATCCAACAGCTCATTAATATGTAACAATTTCTATACTACTGAAAAAAATCATCAGATCTGTTTACAGTTGACAAATCTTTTAGAATTTTCACAAATGAACTGATCTGGTACTTGTGGATTTCTTTGTCATTTATGATGTGTGTAGGATGCCCAGCAAACCACATTGATGAATATGGAAATAGCTGACTACGAACGTTTGGTGAAAGAACTGAATCAAAAGTTAACTAATAAGAGTAGCAAAATTGAAGATTTGGAGCAAGAAATACAAATTCAGAAACAGAAACAAGAGACCCTACAAGAAGAAATGAGTGAGTTAAACAAAATTCATGTTAGCTTATAACTAACAAGCTCATCATAGCAGACCAGAAGGGGGTGTGTGCATGAACGGCAGTGGTCTCCTTCACCAGCCTTGACTGAACCCCGACTTCTCAGGGTTCCACTGTGGTGTCCTCTTTGATCCCTGGGTTATTCTGAAATGTATTCATTCCTAAATAACTAGAGATTTCTTAGGTATCTTTGTGTTAATGGGTTCTGATTTCAGTCCTTTGTTGTAAAGAACACACTTTATGACTTCAGTCCTTTTACTTGCTAAGTCTAGTGTTTGGACCAGCATCTGATTTCTTTTGGTTGATTTTCCTTGTGTACTTAAAAGTGTGTCAGAATGGATTCGTTTTGGATTTTGTGTTCTAACATCAAGTCTTACCGAGTCAGCTGGTAGTGTTTTAAGGTTCCTATATCCTTAATGGTTTTTGTTATTTATACTAACTTGTTAATTACTGAAAGAGGTATGCTGAAGTCTTCAGCCATAATCATGGTTCTGGTTCTCTTTTTAGTTCTGTCCGGTTTGCTTCATGTTTTCAGAAACTTGCGTATCAGGGACAAGTGTGTTTATGTGATTGTGTTCTCCTCAGTGATTGGATCCTCTCTTAGTACGAAATGTTCCTTTTTGTTTATCTCTCAATATTCCTTTTTCCAAAGTCTATTTTGATATTTATAGAGCCACTCCAGCCTTCTTTTGATTATTATTTATGTGGTTTCTTTTTGTACACTTTGGCTTTTAATCTATCTAAATGTATACATTATTAGGAGTCCTGGTCTGGCACTGTAGAATAAACACTGGACTGCTAACCCCAAAGTCAGCAGTTCAAACCCACCAGCCACTCCTCAGAAATCCAGGGTCTCTGTTGTCCGAAGTGACTGGACAACACTAACAACAGCAAGTTGATAAAGGACAGTGAGTTTCTTGTAGCTAGCATGGAGGTGAATGTTGCCTTTCTGTATACTGAGAGTTCTCAAACCAATCACATCCAATATAATTACTTACACGGTTGCCTTTAAATCTACTACCTTACTAATGATTTTATTGTCTCTTTTATTAGCTGTACTTCTGTTACTTTTGGTCTGTGCTTTATGGCTTCTAGTCTGCATCCTGTCAGAGCATGGACTGCGTGCAAACAGTGTTACAAATCCGTGCTTACTGACAGAACTATGCAGTCCACATTCCCATCCCCTCCCCCCCATCCGCCTTTGGCTAACTCCTCATGTATTGTAAACTTTTAACACATTGTTGTTGTTTCGTTTGAAAACAATTCTCTTTTAAAGCAGGGGTCAGCAAACTATGGCCCAGAGAGCAGCTGTACCAGAGTTGTTGTTGTTGTTGTTGTTAGGTGTACCAGAGGAAAACATTGAAAATACACCAGGAAAAGCCTCATTTCACACATACTGCTGTAATCACTATTTACAAATTGGTAACCTCAGACTTGAAAAACTGAACTTTTGCTCTGAGTACCTGTTTTTCCAGAAGAGTCTAGTCTCCGAAATGACTAGATTTGGGATTTCTATTTGATTTTTTTTTGGCCTTTGATGCTGTTTTATTTTATTTTTATTTATTTATTTTTTTTAATTTAAGGTTTTTATTGTGGATTGAGTGAAAGTTTACAGGGCACATCATCAGTTTTACATTCAACAATTCATATAACTTG